GCACGCCGCGGACTTGAAAACATTGAGAAATGCATGTCTGACCTGCGCACGCTTCAATGTTGCCTTGCCCCGCGCCTTCCCCTTACGTCTCGTGCCCGCTTCGAACTGAATCGACGTCTCAACCATTGCAAGAATATGTTGGCGATTGATAGGTTCTTCCCTGCACGCACAGGAATCAAGAACGGTAGGGAGGCAACTGTTGTGGCAGGGTACGTGGTCAACTTGAACCAAAACTGCGCTTTCGATGGGCGCCATCGGATGATAGCCAAGGTCTCGGCATGCCATTATCTTCTCATTGGGACGGTTGAAAAAGGTGCTCGCGACCACAAGGCCGCATGCGAAGCAAATCTCGATCAAATAATGCCGATTGAGAGTCACATCGCTCACACTGTCTCGTACAAATGCGGGCCCATGACGTCATCCCCCCTGGCCTTCCTCTGGAGCAGCCTGCCGTTGAAGCCACCCAAACGGCACGACGCCGATTGTTTTGTAGTGCTGCGCGCGTGCATCTGGAGGTTATGGTAAAATGAGCGTCTGGCGTCGTAGTCGACTCCGTTGTGCGGCGCGTAGACGGACATGTCAGTAAGCATGCCACCGTGTAGTTCCAACCGAAGTGTAGCGATGCGGTCGCCGCGCGACTTGAAAGACACCACTGCCAGGCGGATCCGCGGGGAGACGATGGCCCCAATCCCAGAAAAAAACTGTTGTCCCAGATTGCGGCACCCAGACCAAAATATAATGTAGCCTTAACGTGCGTAGTATCCGGCACCGCGGAGATGAGCCATTTGGAGACATAATCGACCAAAATTTCGCGCGGACATCATCAACGACAACCCGTCCACTTTAACAGCGGAATCGCCCTGGCTACCTTGAACATTCCAAGTCCCCATGCGATGCAAACGGCAATGTTTGCAGACACGTCTGGGTCGACCCCAAGATTCGCCTTCTGGCCGATGGCAAAACTTATCACACGCAACGCACAATAATGGTGCACCCCCTGCTGAGGACGGGCTGAGGATGGCGGACTTCGTCAATGGAACCCGTCTGATCGAAACGGCTGGGGAAGTACTGGATCAGGAAGAATATGAGCAAGGATTATGTAGACGACGCTGTGGCCTAGTATATTTGCCCATGCCCATGGCTACACAAAATGGAACCTCTGCGTGCTCAGCGAAACACATTTCGCATGGAATGGCGGCCTCTTTCGCGGCCTCGTCCACGGAGGGGTCGCCAAGGTATACGCAGCGGGCGGCGCACGTACCCAGTGAGGTGGTGTCGCCAGAAGGCGGGTCCTCCAGAGTAATTCCCGCAATGGTGCACATGTACATGGTCGACGGAAATGTGCAAGCGCGACGTCGACATTGGAGTACAAGCGTGTCCAACATCAGGGAAACCAAATGTGCATTGTAAAGCTGACGGCGTTGTGGCACTGAGCACGGGCTGGGACCATGCTGCCCGCCGTACATCCTAATGTACAGCGCCTCCTTTGGATTTTCATGTCGCTCCACCGTTCATGCTGGATAACGCCCTTTGTAACAAAGCGTCGCACTTGTGTTCTAATCGATAGGTTTGTGATGTTTCTGAAATTCGGCCCAAGATTTCCAGTTGCCTTCCCATTCTCTCTCTATGTTGGCGCTCGTAATACGCACACTGGCCGCCAAGTCACCTCCCACGTAAACTTGCCACGGGGCCCCGTCTGTGACCTGGATGATGTCTGGAAACTCGACACCGTTTTTAAGAATATAATTCAGCACGGAACAACAATTGCGAGCAGCGCGTTCTGCAGGCGGTCTGTCTGGCACTGACCACGCAGTCTTGCCATCGCGCGGAAGGTCACCACTCCTCAACACTGCCACGGCCGCATCTCTGTCAAAGGTGCTTCCCAATGCAGCAAGTAACATGTTTTGGAACTCGGCTTTACTGTACATGTTGCTCGGTATGGGCCCTCTGCACGCTTGCATTGTTTCCCCGGATGAAACCAACAAGTTTCTGTGTACGAGACAGAGGTGCTCTAAACTACTTCGGAAAAGACACTGGACACGAGCTGCAGGGCCACGGTCCCTTGTAACGTACACTGGGTTCGCGCTCGGAGGGCAACGATCCATCGCAAATTACACTGGGTTCGCCCTCTCAGGGCCACGATCCCTTGCAAAGTACGCTGCGTCCGCACCACCAGGGCCACAATCCCTCGTCAATTACGGTGTACCCGCGCCCCCAGAGGCAGGATCCCTGATGAATTACGCGGTGTCCGCCACCCCAGGGCCAGCGTCCTTTGTAAGTTACGCTGAGTATGCGCTCCCGGGGCCACGATCCATCGTAAACCATGCTGCGTCCACGCTCCCAGGGCCACGACCCTCAATAAGTTACAGTCTGTTCAGGCTCGGGCATCCTGGGGCACCCAGGCCACTCACATTCTGCAAAACAAGCGTTTCCCTTCAGACATCCTCAGATATTCGGCGCGCAGGGCGCAACATCCTCGAGCGGGTACGCAAAAGTTGAGTTTCTTTCATGTTCTGACAAATTTCAGAAAGCCTCCAGACCTACTGTTCTATCGGGGACTCTGCGCAAAACGCTCCGCACACAATTGTTTCATAAAAAGGGAAAGCGTGTGTCTGCGGGCCCTGTATTTTATCGAAGATCCGATATAGAGGGGACACATTTTCCTCGAGTGGACACACGCGAAGCGACTTTTTCAGTGATAAATCAAGCTTCACCTTGGTATTTATCGCAAACAGTTCCGTCGGCATCCTTTAAGTCGAGGCCGAGGGTGTAATCTCCGAAACGAGAACCCTGGGCCTACGCCCTTTCCGGGGGAGAGAGCTAACGTCCACGGAGAAAGAACGCACACAGCACGCGCACCTCCACCCCCTCCTCCCCCTCCTTCTCCTCCTGACGCTCCTCCCCCTCCTCCCCCTCCTGGCGCTCCTGCGCGTGCCCTCCTCCTCCTCCTCCACCTCCTCCTCCTCCTCCTCCTCCTCCTCCTCCTCCTCCTCCTCCTCCTCCTCCTCCTCCCCCTACCTCCTGCTCCTCCCCCTACCTCCTCCTCCTCTTCCTCTCCCCTCCCGCAGATCGCAGGGAGAGAGCAGGGGGGGCCTCGAGCTCAGGCATCTCCGCTCTCCCTCCTCCCTTCTTCTCCCTCCTGGTCTGCGCATCGCCCGCGTCCTCGTCCTCCTCCCCTGCAGGGGCGCCTCGAGACCTCGCAACGAGAAGCACGCGGCACGGCGGCCTCGCCACGTCGCGCACCACTGAACGGAACGGGGGGGGGCTCGGGAGCTCATGCTCGTGGGGCGCTGCCCTCCTCCTCCGTCGTCCGCCACCGCTTCCTCCTCGACATCCTCCTCCACTTCATCCTCCTCCTCCGCCTCCACCACCGCTTCCTCCACCTCCACCTCCCCCTCCTCCTCCTCCTCCTCCTCCTCCTCCTCCTCCTCCCCCTCCTCCTCCTCCTCCTCCTCTTCCTCCTGCTCCTCCACCTCCTCCTCCTCCTCCTCCTCCTCCTCCTCCTCCTCCTCCTCCTCCTCCTCTCCCCCTCCTCCCCCTCCTCCCTTCCTCCCCCTCCACTCACTCCACTCCCTCCTCCATTTCCTCTTCCTCCTCCTCCTCCTCTTCCTCCTCCCCTACCTCCTCCTCCTCCTCCCCTCTCCTCCTCCTCCTCCTCCTCCTCCTCCTCCTCCTCCTCCTCCCCCTACATCCTGTCCTCCTCTCCCTCCTCCCCCTCCTGCCCTCGCAGCAGAGCGAAAGGAGACACCGGGACTTTTCGAGGGTCCAAGCGCACCAGTTTCCCGAGCTGGGTTAAGTCGGGCCTGTCCCTCGACAGGGGGAATGTTCAAACATAGTTTAAACATAGTCGGGGGACTATGTTTGAGTATGCGTTTTGCTATTTCAGGGTATGTTTTGTGTATCTTGAGTTTTTCGCCCAGAATCCCCCTGTAGGGGGACAAGCCCGACCTAAAAGCTGGGTCCAGCCGAGGTGACGAGGGCCCACCCGAGAGCCAACCACCGCTGCCTCAACCGAATCCCCATCTTACCATCATCCCTCCTCTGGAACGCCTGACATGGGTACAGTATTCGGCCCACCGAACGGGGGGGGGGCTTAGGGGGCACCAGCTCGTAGGGCGTTACCCGCCTCCTCCGTCGTCCTCCACCACTTCCTCCTCCACTTCCTCCTCCTCCTCCTCCTCCTCCTCCTCCTCCTCCTCCACCACTTCCTCCACTTCCTCCTCCCTCTCCTGCGAGCGGTAGCGCTGGCGCCGTCTGTGGAGCTCCCTCTGGTGCCACGACGCGCTGCACTGGGTGGGGGGGGCGCACGCGGGCGGTAGCGCTGGAACCTTCGGTGGAGCTCCCTACGGGGCCACGAAACGCTGGGTGGGAGGGACGCCTGCGGGCGGTAGCACTGGGGCCGTCGTTGAAGCTCCCTATGGGGCCACGAAACGCTGTACTAGCTGGGGGGGGGGCGCATGCGGGCGGTAGCACTGGGGCCGCCGGTGAAGCTCCCTATGAAGCCACGAGACGCTTTGAACGGGAGGCAGGCGTGCGGAAACACTGAGGCCTCCTCCTCATCCTCTTCTCCTCCTCCCCTCAGAACTGCTGTGAATCGTCGTCCCCATAGTTTCCGTACCCATTCGAAGCGTCCTGATCCTCCCCCCTCGTCGTCCCGACGCGGCGCCTCCCGACAGACCTCCCTAGTGGGCTCCAGAAAACGGCAGAATCGTTTTCACAATTTCCGAACGACTCTCTTGAAAATGGAAACGGAAAAAAACGGCAAGCGGAAACGGCAAGCGGAACCGGCAAAAAACGACGACTCCGAAAGTGGAACCGGAACTGGCAATAAAAACGGCGACGGAACAGGAGGCAAAAACGGCGCCAGAACCGACAACAAAACGGCCCAATGGAACCAGTAACAAAAACGGCCCTGTCGTTTCCAGGACCCACTAAGCGACAACCCGTAGATCGGCAGACCTCCCCCCCGCCCGCGAGGCGGAGACGGCGGGGGCGCCGTCCTCGCAGGGGAGCGTCCCGACGCGGTGGGGCTTTCCGTCCTCAGTGCGCCGGGGCCCCCGCGGCGACGTGAGCTGGCTTCTCTCCTGCTACCTCCCCCTCTCGTTCTCGTCTTCGCCTCCCTGCTCCACCACCTGCGCATTCCTCCTCCCACGTCTAGAGGGCAGAAAATCCACCCCGAGAATAACCACCCCGACGCGCGAGGCCTTCAGTAAACGCGCCCAGAGAAGGAATCGAACAGGGCCAGGCTGTATAGTAAACGCCCAGGGCCATGTCGCTGCTCCTCCTGCGCCTCCCCCCGTTCGCGCCTCGCGCCTCTGGGCACGGAGTGGGCGCGTCCTCGGGTGCATTGCCTCGTCTCCTGGGCCTCACGGTCGGCCCGCATCACCGGGATGCGCGGTAAGGGCGCACGGGCCTTGTGCGGGCAATCCTTCTGCCCATCTCCACCGAGAGTTTGGAGTTTGGGGCTTCCTGCCCCAGAAGCCCGAGGCGCCCTGGACACTGACAAAACATATGCCCCTTTGGAGGCTCGCTCTTGATCCATGTCCGGTGCGCCGCGGCCTTGTGGCGCTATTGCCAAAAAAGTCGTCCCAAACACACTGGATATGGATACGAATATTTGAAGGGGCCCTGGGACACACAAATAAAAATTACACAAATAACAGGATTCCCCACATGTTCCTACATTTTCTAGGTTTACGTCTTCCCCCCCCATCCCATAGTTCCCCATATTTCCCGGGGGATCGACGATTCATTGTGGCTGTGTGATGCTTCCCCTCCTGAATATTGCCCGCGCCTGGGACGCCCCCACTTCGAAGCTCTTCGGGCTGGGCGCGACCCACGCGAGGGAGGGGCGAAGGCTGGGCGGCCCACCCGTGCCACGCCGGGGGGGAGCTGCAGCCCTCGACCCCGCGGGGCTCTTAGCGGGCCCGGGGCCCCGAACCCACACCTCTCGGGGGGGGAGGAGAAGGAGGAGGAGGAGGAGGAGGAGGATGCGGCGGCGGAGGAGGAAGAGGAGGAGGATGATGAGGATGAGGAGGAAGAGGAGGAGGAGGAGGATTGCATATGTGTTTATGAATGCATGCGTGCGTGTACATATGTCCGCAGCTCGTACGACGGCTCATGTGTAGATTGAATTGGTCAAAACAAAATCACACGTCGATTGGTGAATTGTCCGTTTTCGGTTTTCGAGAGGGCGCCGTGGCCGTTGTTTTCCAGGCTTGCGCCCGCCAGGTTTGGGCCTCAGGTCGTTTTCACGAAACCACGTTTTGCTAAAGGGGGGTCTGTCCATCCCCGAATCTCTCTCATTGGACTTGCTGAGTGCTCCCTGGGGTTCCCGGCAGCTCCCCTCGGCGGTGGACAAACCTCCCTTTAGTAAACCTCCCCTGACTTGCCATCGCTCGGACGTCCATTCCCTGTGTTTGTTTCGGTTTCGTGCGTGGTTTTTTCGCCAAATGATCAAGGATGCTCCTCGATGGCCCTCGCCGAAGAAAAAATGCACACGTCCGAGCGATGCCACGCCTTAGTGAAAACGGCCTGGGACCGAAACCGACGGACCTGGACCCGCAAAAATGACGGCCGCGACGCCCTCTCGCGAACCGAAAACGGCCAATTCGCTAATCGACGTGTCAGGGTAGGAGGTCTGTCCACCCCCCATCCCCGCGCGACTCTGTTGGGCCCAGGAGAGCCCCAAGACGGGCTCAGGGAGCTTCAAAAGACTCCCAGAAATTTCTAACTGGGTCCCCAGATGCTTACTCCAAATCCATTATGAATCGTCCACCTGGTCCGGATTTCAAGGCGCCTCTTTTGCGACTGGGTGGGTCCAGTATATTAGGGCGCTTTCTTTGGATTGGAGCTTAGGGGGTCCGGCTTATCCAGGCGCCCCGTCGAAGAGGGGGGTCCAGAATATCAGGTCGCATTTGGAGGGGGGTCCGTTTTTTTAGGGGAGGGTCGATGAAATAAGGGATTTGGAGTAGCCCCCTGCGCGCGCTGCCAGACAGGGAGGACCCTGGGGCGCAAGGGGGGCGGTGTCATTGGCGATGGCGAGGGGACCGTGTTCGGTTTGTGATCTCGTTTCTTCCTTTGCGGCAGAGAGAGAGGTCAGGAGGGGAAGAAACACACAGACACAATTCATCGTCGACTCCCAGGAGAATATCGCCCAAAACGCCCAAAACGCCAAGACTCCAACACGCCAAAGATGGCCCCAAAACGGTCCAACATACCTCCGAGAAGCCTCAAGGAGGCGTGGGCCTCCCGGCCCACGAAGCGCCCCCTGCTGCCCCGCGAGGAGGAGGGGGAACGAGGAGGTACAAGGAGGAGGAGGAGGAGGAGGAGGAGGAGGAGGAGGTACGCGGAGGAGGAGGAGGAGGTACGATGAGGAGGAGGATGAGGAGGCGGAGGAGGAGGAGAAGGATAGGGGAGGAGGAGGGAGGAGGAGGGAGGAGGAAGAGGAGGAGGAGGGGAGGAGAACGAGGAAAAGGAGGAGGAGGCACGAGGAGGAAGTTGAGGTACGAGGAGGAGGAGGAGGTACGGAGAGGAGGGGGAGGAGGAGGAGGAGGATCAGATCGATTGGACCGAACTGGGCCCACCCCGAGGCAGCACGGGTCGCGCCGCGCCGCGCGCCGAGCAGCGCGCGCTCAGCGCGGCGACGAGGGCCGAGGCGGAACTCTCGATGGGCAGGTTCAGCGTGTCGGCGCCGCGCTGGTGAGCGCTTTTTTTTATTCGGCGTTTCGACATTGGGCGGAAGGGGGGGGTCTAGCTTCGGACCTCTGCTTAGTGCGACTGTTTGCAGCAGTGCGTCCTGTGGGGAAGGGACTGCACCTGCTCAAAACAGGCGCCAGAAAAAGCCAAAATCTACTTCATGGGGTTGGGGAGGGGGTGTACGAGGGCCCGCGCCGATCGGCAAAGCAATGAACAAGGAAAAGATCACCTGGGCCGGACGTGTTGTACAGTTTTTGCTGCAAGGCCGGGGCTTTCGCGGGAGGAGAGGAGGGCAGCGCAGATCGTGCACATCTGGCGATGTGTTGTCTTGTATGGAGCGTTCATGCAAGTAGTCGTATCGCGTGGAAAAGGGGCTGTGTATCTATTGGGTCATCGTCCTTCTGCAGGAGCGGGGCTCTTGAAAGAGGGCCCGCCAACATGGGAGGCGACACCTGGGATGTCTTCGCGAGAACGACCAGGGGCTTCGGCACCCGCTTGAGGGCCCGTTGAGCGGACTACGGTCAGACCTAGGACAGACGAACATCCTTCAAGAATATGAGACCCTCCGCAAGACAGAACACACCAACCCATCTGATCACTCAAGGGTACCTTCCCCCAGAATGCACAAGAGCACCCAACAAACACAAAGAACATTAGGGTACCCTCCATGAACCGACCTCGATGTTATACCTCGTTCGGACCACACGCCCAAGTGGTCTCAGGATCAGGCCAGATTAAACGGAATTGAAGGGGTCTGTGCCAGATTCGGCCCTGGCGGCGGCGGCGGAGGGGGGGGGGGTGGCGGGGCGAGTTCCATCAGGGACCTCCTGGGGAGCCCTCGCCGCCATCGCCGGATTGGCCTCGAAATCCTGGTCGGGACGCATCCTGCGAGGGGGTCTGGGAGGACGCAGTGGCATCGGTCCCCGTTGATTGGCCGGGGCGGGGCAGGCAGGGAACGGCGGCACCACCAGCACCGGCGCGAGGTGCCAGAGAGAGAGACCTCCCTGGCGGCTTGGTGCAATCCTCTGGCTCAGAGGGGGGCATCGTGGACCTCCTCGGTGGAGGCTGCCCACCTGGTGGTGCTGGTGTCGTCTCTCGCTTTCGGTGGTAACTCATGGGGACCTCCCATACCATTGTGTCGGCTCTTGCGAATCGACGCCCACTGACGCGAATTCGACGCTGAATCGACGCTGACCGACGCTAAATCGGCGCTACCTCACCGATTACAGACGCGAATCGACGCTAAGGACGGTATTGCGAGGGGATGCTAGGCTCCCATGATCTGTCACCGAACACCTTCCTCCGACGGGGGGGGGGGACGGGGAGGGCGACGGGCGGCGGGGAGGGGAGGTTCCACAGGGTTTCTCCCACGCGGCGACGGCCCAGAGTGCGGGGCGAGACGAGCGTTCGGGGAGGGACAGGGGGAGAGGGGAGCGCGGGCGGGGAGGGAATCGGGTCGGGCGCAAGGGGGGGATAGCAAAGGGGGGATTTGAGAATCAGCTCACGTGGCTGATTTTCCCGGCGCCTCCCAGCGCCAGAGGCGGCTATGTATCGAGGAATGGGCCCCTCGGTGAGGCCGAAACCAGCTGCATGCAGCAAATTTCGTACCCCCCCCTTTCCCAATCCCCCCCTTTCGTCCAGCCCAAGGGAGGGAGAGGGGGAGGACAGCGACGGTCGGGAGGAGCGGAGGGGGAACAAGAGGGGGGAGGAGGAGGCCGACGAAAGCGAGGACGACGCCATCCGGGAGCCCAGGGAAGGGGGTTGCGGCAGGGTGGGGGGGGGGCGGAAGTGGGAGGTGGCGAGCTGGGGCGGCCGCACGAGTGGGAGGCGAGGGGAGCGGGGAAGACGGAGAAGACGGAGCGGGGCACTGCGCACCAAGGTGCAAACGCCGACGGGATTGAAAAACTCGAATCTGGCTCAGGGGCGCAAGCGGCAGAGGAAAGGCACGAGGAGAAAAAGGAAGGAGGAGGAGGAGGGGGGTTAGCGAGAGGGTGATGGATAGGAGTGGGGGCAGATATGAGGAAGGAAAGGACGATGAGGACAATCATCACAAGGAGGACGGGGAGATAAGAGAGGAAGTCGAGGGAGACGGGCAGGAGAGGAGGTACGAAGAGAAGCGGAATGATAAAGTGAGGAGAGAGGGAGCAAGGATCAGCAGCAGGGGTAGAGCAGCAGCACACGGAGAAGAGACGAGGATGCCAGGAGGGAGAGAAGGGGAGGAAGGGAAAGGAGGCGGCGGAGCGATGACGAGGGGAGGGGGGAAGAAGAGGAAGAGGACGAGGACCAACGACAAAGGGGCGTGAATGACTGGAGGGGGCGCCAGGTGCAGAGAATAAAACAACGGGGCGCTCCGCCTGAAGTGCGGTAAGCCAGGCCCGCCCACCCCGAGCTGGCGAGGATGAACATGAAGGGACAAGAAAGGGGCGGGGGAGTGGGAGGAAAAGGCGAGGAGGAAGAGAAGGGATGCGAGAAAGAGACGGACAAGGATGGGAACGCGAGGGGGAGATAATGAAACAACCGCATGTTGGCAACACGCATGTTCGGCGGGCAAGGCAACCTCTTCTTGTACTACTCCTGCGCCTTACGGAATGGACAGTTGACACACTTGCATAAATAGGGGTACTCACGTCAGTGACGTCTGCACCATGCAGGGTAATAGTAATCCCACCAGCTCTCTGGGCAAAAGGTGGTTCAAGGCACTAGTTCTGAAAACCTGTTTCCTCTTCTTGGAGAGTTTTACATCCCCCCCTAACCCCACTCCTTGGGTCTGGAAGCCACAAGAATCTCCAGAATGGCGGCACGTTGGTCCCAGATGGCCTGCAATACCGAACGAAATACGTACTCCAATATTACTCAAGCTAGCTTCCGACATGCCTCCAAAATGCACCGACACCGCCCCAAAACGGCTCCAAGTGGCCATGGAGCCTCCCAAAGACGCCCCCGAGAGGCCCAACGCCTTTCGCACCGAACCACGGTTTAGTGCGTGTTGCCTTCTAGCCTGTTCGTTTCCGATGGGCTTCTGACGCCTCAAGATGGCCCAACCGAACCCCACGAGAAGCCCAAAGGGCTCCAAGGCAGCCCAAAGAGCGCCTAGCAATACGGTTTGTTTCACTCATGGGCAGAAGGCGCGCCGCTCCGACGCCGGCGAACCCATAGGCCTCCAGCCTCTGTAGATGTAGGCACAGGCCTTCTATAGCCAAAGGAATGCAAGGGAAAACTCAGTGCCCTGCAGGGCACGTCCACGAGGGTAGACCATTGAGCAGCCTCTTGAAGGCCAGACCCTGGGGCCACGCTTTGGTGGCCCATGCATTCCGCAAGAAGGCCTCTGAAACAAACGTGGCAGGAGAGCCCCACCATGACAGAAAGCCAGCAGGCCGACTCCACAGCGCCTGCAATGTCGAGCGCGAGTGTAGAGCACAAGCCTGAGGCGCTGAACTCGCTCGAAACCAAGGTACAGTGACATTCCGGCCTCGAGACCGCTACGGAGTGGCTGAAAGAAGCACCTGCGCAACGCCACTCCAAAGTGCACAGCTCTTAGCCAATCCTGTTATAGCTTGAGCTGTATCACGCCTGACAATATCACCCTAACAAGTCATGAGAGACGAGGCAGAGCCTCTAGCATCCTGAAAGAATATAAATATGCAAGCGGCGTCCTCCTCACACCTCAATTGAAGCCGACGTCGACCAACCGTCAACGGGTGCAAGGAGGGCCGACATTGCAGACTGAGTACAATGCTGAATCTGAAAACGCGACAACCAATCCTGGATACACAGCCGCCTGATGGAATTAGCGGCAGAAGGGAACATACAGGGCCTGAAAGGGCTACCTCAAGCCCCGCATCCGAGAAAGTCCAGAGACGGCCCTGGCAGCCCAAGGCAGGCACTTGAGCCCAGATCTGGAACATAAGCCGCCAGCCCATGGAAGCCCCAGAAAATCATCAGGCAACAAGTTAAAGAAACAACAAGCCTTACCGCAAACAACGCCCCCTCTAGCAGGAGGAGGGGATCCATCTGGATCCGCGTCAAGGTGTGGTATGATGCCTACCAAACCTACTAGATAGTGTTCATCGTGGTCTATACAATTGGCTGAAAGATCAATGTCTAGTAGCTCATTCCTGCGGGCCCCAGCCTCCTCCGACTTGCAGCAGTGCGACTCTGGCTCAAGCGTGTCTCCTGCTCGTGCACCCAATAGTCGGAAGTCCTCAATGGCATATCCTGCATAGGTCACCCCACTAGTGGCCCAGTAAGCCTGACACAAGACATCCCTCGGGAGGGCCGCCTGATAATCGGAGATTTCTTTCCTTCCAGAGGAGCTCAAAATCCTCAGGGCCAGGTCAAGACGCTTCCTGGGGGCCTCCTGAATGCGTCTGACAAACTTAACAGCATTTGTTTCCCAAGTCCTGGCGCACGCATCCTGGAGCCCGTACTCCAGCGGCTTAGGCGAAACATAATCGAGCGAGAACAGCTTGCACTCGTGCGATTTCAGCACGGGCTGTCCTTGAAATGCCACTGCATTCCTGCCCAGGGCGCGCGTCGCCGCTGCAACAGGTCCTCGAACTTGATGGCGTTTGAGCCCGGAGCAGTACACAATACACTCCCAGAATGATTGTTTGGCAAACTGAAACCCTGGTGCCCCACGATTCCCAATTTGCCAAACCCCGCAGCCAAAACTTCCTGAGCCCAGCGCACCACATGCACTAGGGCCCGCTGGTCTGCTTTGTACTCATTAAGGGCGAACGTGAATGATCTGCTTTTGCCTTTACACCCTGGCCCAATGACCTGATATTCTGCTATGAGTGGCTCCAAATCAGGGTTAGACCAAACTTCAATACTCAAGGCAAAAGCTCAAGCAAGCAAAAGACCGTACGTGACAGTTTGGCGGGCTCCCTGGCCCATAAGTCGCAATGGCTGCATCCAGAGCGCAGCTCTCTGTCTGACACGCTGGAACATCCTGGCCCTCTTGGTAGTGATCCCGGAAACAGTATCTGAAAACCCAGCTC